AATACACGCAGAAACGTCTATAGGCTATATGAATCTATTTCACATGAATCTCGTTGATCCATTGCAATCAAATTGACCAGAAATCCTCAGTTCTATAGGACGGATGCCCCATTTACAATTTGCCCTCGCCATTGGCAATTACTCCAAATGATATACTAGTTTTAATTAATAGTTAGATTTTTGCCGAATCATGCCAATATTTGAATTTGAAAAAATATAACATTCGGCGTAAAAACAATAAAAAAATATATAACGTTTTTAGTCTCTGTGTGTAGGCTTGCGACTTCTCTCTGCTCTTACATCGTTCCACACAGTGATAACACGGCGGAAAGTATACGCTATGAAACTTTATCGACACTAAAATGTATTTTGCATAATATGAGATCGTATTCGATGTCATTATATGACCTGTATAGAGCACACTATAAAACGTAATTGGGGCTTCGCTTGTACCGCTAGGTTAGCATACGATGCAGTATAGCGACGTCTATGAAAACCTATAACAAGAAAAATAAGCCGTAGTGATTTATTGGGGATTCAGTATAATATAATAAAAATTTGACTACGTCATATCGCGATCAATATATACACGTGCGCCAAACCAATAACGCAGACAACTGGCTACTATTTTATTGCTGCATTAAAAGATTTTCCCATATAATAAGAAAACCGGGCGCGTCTATGCATTACGCAGCGACGTACTGCAGGTGACCGTGAACAGTTCCCAAATGACCATGCAGTTATTAGTATCCACATTTGTCTAGGCGGCGCAACTGACTCGATCCCCCTTACCCCTCCCCTGCCACTAGCTATGACTGCTGCATGATTCCATTGTAAGCACCCATGCCAAGTATAAAGGAAGGAGTGTCCACAATGGTATCTACAACCTGACAAGCTGAGCCACTTAGTGGTTACAGCTATATTCCTAGTCGTTTTTACAAAGGCATAATAAGCCACGGGACGCAGAACATGTCTAGCAACTCTGTTCGCTGTAGAAGGGCGTACTCTGATTGGCGGAAATTGAATGGAATTACATCAAGGGTGAGATGAACTTTCAGCGCAATGAGATCCCGAAAACATCTTTTTTATCAGTCGGCGTATAGCTGCTATAGCGAGATGAAGGTCGCTGTTGTTGATGTTCGTGTGAAGGCTGGCTCGACCGCTGACATTGCGGTTCGATGACGCGATGTCTACGCGTCAGAACGCTCCCTTTTACGATCAACGAATCTTGAGCTCTACATCTAAAAAACGATGTGGCTATATGAAAAAATATTCGTTGGGAGAATCTGAATTGAGAGTTGCCACGACTAGTTGTTAATAATTAAAACCGAAGCATCGAGTGGTCACATGAGTGACAACACTGAAACCCGCATCCACGATTAATTTAATTGATAACTGGGTCAATCAGCATCTTTCTGTGCCTGTACGGTTAGCAAACGACGAAGAACTCATCGAATGAGAATAAAACTCAATATAATAATAATAGTAATAATAATTAGAACTATAAAAACCTTTGCATATTATTTAGGAATTCAGGAGTATAGCAACACAGGGGCTATGTCGCCGAGTCAAGATTGTGCTCTTATCGTTTATGTTTATATATTTTAATTATTAATCATTTATAGTTTCTTATGTCGCAAAATCTGATTGACTTCGAGTAACTACCCTACAAACGTCTCGCTATACCCTCACTCTTTATTTCGATGACTCGAAACCAGACAACTATATTTTACGGTTACATTGCGTTGACTTTGTATTTGTATCAGTGTACTGAATGGCAGAGACACAACGCGCGATCGCGCGACGAGAAACCCACGGGAAATAGCACATCGAAAAACGCTCAGGAGTAAAGCATCAAAGCAATCTTTCAAAAAACTAACTGTGGGGCACTCGTCAAAGAATTTCACGATAACAAAACAGCTGTTTAACCAAAGCTCTAAAACTAGTTTTCATTTACCGAGTCTCTTCTCATTGGTAAAAAAATTGCAATGGCTTTGCAGCACATTTTCCTCGCGTCTATACGTAAAGATCATTTATTTTATCCGGGCAGTAAAAACTTTACACTAGAATGCATATTGTGTAGAGGACTGGTTCTATTAACTAATTAAATAAAGAAGTAATTAAAGATAAATCTACGGTTCCTGATTAGACGGCATTGATATCGTCGACATTGGCCTTATTATCATTTGCATCCTTATGATCACCTTCGTCGTCGCCATTACAGTAATGATCACCGTCATGTTAATTTTTTATACCCCTATTTCCTTTCTTCTCTTTCCCCTCCTCATACATCACTGCCTTCTCACTCGCATGTTATTTCTCCGTTCCCGCCACTCATCCGCGCCCTCCTCCTCTTCCTCATCCTTCATCTCCATCTCCGCATATTCATAATTATGTTTGTTATAAATGTATTAAAATTTTATTTAATGAAATGCAAATGTAATTGTAAAATGTAAAATATAAAATGTAAAATGTAATTGTAATGAATGTGATAAATGTAAATAGGAAATTGGCCTTGCATGTAAGGTACCCCGCTGCATATACCAGTCAGTACACCATCTGCCCACGTTAGTGTGTTAACGCATGCGCAATATCTCATCAGAGTAGTTATATTTTGTGATAAACATGCGTTTAATATGGTTGAAGGTATCTCAGCATAGATTTATATAATAATTTCTTATCAGTACACCTGTGTTTATAGTTAGTAGAGCGCCCTAGCCTGTAGTGTGCAAAACTGCTACTCCATCCCCACCCGACCTTAGTCTATACCTAATCCCCTATAATAGTCTAGACCTTATCCCCACCGTAAGTCTTGCATGTAGGGTACCCGCTGCATGTACCAGTCAGTAAACAATCTATAGCTACGTTAGTGTGTTAGCGCATGCGCAATATCTTACCAGAAGAGCTATATTTTATGATAAATATGCATTTAATATGGTTAGGGGGTATCCCGGCATAGATTTAAGCCTCAGTCACACTGGGGCCGGACTGTCCACGGATTACCGCGGATGGGGCAGGGTCTCCCCGGACCGTAAAATTTATAATTTAGGTCGGTCGAATATATAAACGACGGTCGAAAAAAAGCATCATCGGGCCGAATCGGGCCGGACCAGCACGGCAGCGCCACGGATCATCCTGGATTGAGCCCGGATGAAGCCGGCCCCAGCACGGAGTCACTACGGACCGCCCCGGACCTACCACGGACGCGCCACGGACCGTCCAGGACCACCCCGGATGGGGAAAACTTCCCGGACCGTCCCGGATCACCCCGAAAATTTTAAACAGTTTAAAACTTCCGGGGCGATATCCCGGAATGCGCAGGACCATCAAGGACCACCCCGGACCGGGCCGGACCGTCCAGAACCGTCCAGGACCCAACAAGGATCTCTCCTCGGATCAGTCCGGCAGCGTCCGGCCCGGTCCGGGAGCTTGGTGTGACTTTAGCTTTATGTAATAATTTGTTATCTAAACACGTGTGTTTATAATTAGGAGAGCGCCCTATTCTGTAGTGTGCAAAACTCCTACTTTATCCTTTCCCGACCTCCCACTTGCCTTCATTGTCCGTCGCTCAGCCTCCTTCGCTTTCTACCGCCCCTCAGCTATCTTCCCTGACGCCTTTACTTACTCTCCCAGCCCTCTTACTCTCCCAGCCCTCTCTCTCAGCAAGCTATATTATGCAGTTCTCTTATTCAGTCCGTACTGCAGGCCTGAAACAGTGCTCGCGCATGCGAAGATTATTTGCGAAAATTATGCATGCATTTAAAACGGAGAGGATGTATTCTAACATAGATTTATATGGTAACATTCTATCAGTAGACCTCTATTAAGAAATTGGAAGAAGACCTTACATGTACATTATAGGGTACCCGCTGCATATACCAGTCAGTACACAATCTAGCATCTTAGTGTGTTAGCGCATGCGCAATATCTCACCAAAGGAGTTATATTTTGTGATGAATATACATTTAATCTGGTTAGGGTGTATCTCAGCATAGATTTATGTAATAATTTGTTATCCGTACATCTGGTTTATAATTAGGAGAGCGCCCTAGCCTGTAGTGTGCAAAACTCCTGTTTCTTACCCTGCCGTCTTCCCCCTTGCCTCCCTTGTCCCTCGCTCACACTCATTCTTCTTCTACCGCCCATCAGCTATCTTCCCTGCCGCCTTTACTCAGTCTCCCACCCCTCTCTCTCAGCAAGCTATATTATGCAGTTTTTTCAGTCCGTTCTGCCCGCCTGCAGCGATGCTCGCGCGTGCCTAATATCTCCAGAGAAGAATGATATTTTGCAAAAATTATGCAATTGAAATAGAGAGGAGGTATTCTAGCATAGATAACATTTCATCAGTAGACCTCACTTAACATCATCACCACCACTACCACCATCAGGATCATTAGCGACTAGTAGCACCTAGACCACCATCATAATCATCATCATCATCATCATCATCATCATCATCATATCGTCGTCGTCGTCGTTGATTCATTTGGTATATCACATGTGTAGTGTTCTTTGGCGATACTTGGCAAATAAGGCAACTACGTGTTTAGCTGCAGCCAAGGTTTTAAACGGTATTCTAACCCTAGCAATACCGTTTCTTGGAGCTATCATCTCCATTACTTTTGTGCATGAGTTTGTCACAATATTACGATGGCTCGTACGCAAGTAGGGCCTATAGTCTATACGTTTCTTCACGTACAAGATTCGGTTCAAGAATAGAGAACATGGGTCCCAATAAAACCAATGTCATTTACATCAATATAAAATATAATATTATATCAATGACAATATAATAGGTTAGGGTTATGGTTAGGGTTAGGGTTAGGCACATTGGTTTTATTGGGACCCATGTTCTCTACCCTTGGGCCCAAGATTCTGTACATTGATTACCTTACACAACGGACAGCAGCCGCTGAGTCAGAAGAGTACGGTAAACTACCTGAGCTACGACTAGTCGGACTACGAGTACGAGTACGACTACGAGTCAGAACATAACGTACCAAGTTAACGCTGTGCCGGTATCATTAGAAGTTCATCCGTGTACATGTCATGAAAATCTTCAAGCTGGAATAGTGGTAACTTCTACTCAAGTTGATAATTAACATACGCTATCACAAGGCATACAATTCCTGTTTTATTACGCCTTGAAAACAAAGATGCAGCAGCGTGCATCACAACCGGTGCGGCTTTTCAAATATGGCCGCCGTCCGTGTAATAATAAAATGATTGGACCGTAAAAATTATAAGCGCAAATGCGCAAGGGGAAAGTTTGTAGTAAATACATTTCGTGTTTATATTGACCTCTTTTTATTGAGATTTTCCAAGTGTCTGTGTTAAAGTGAGTGCTTATATGAGCATTATAGTTATATATTTGTTTATTAAGTAATGGTACATTGACAAAAGTGAAAAAATGCTGACGCTTGAAATTAAGCGCCTCACCGCCATAGAAATAATATTATAGTAGACTCGATCTTATCATCAGTGCGTTCGATTTGCTTCCCCAGAGCCACCTGGGTAAGGCTGGGTTAACCTGGGTACGAAATCGAACGCATCTGGGTTACTTTGTGCGTGTTTCCACGATGTGAAGCGAGGCAACGTCTTCCTACAGGGCGTCGCTAGTAAAATTGCCACTTCATTTAA